GGCACTGTCCCTCTGAGATGCTGGGAGAAGGAGGGATGGTGCAGACCAGGGCTCAGGCTCCGGACGGCCGGGCAGGGGGCTGATGATGTTTGTCACTTGGGCAGCAGCCCCCAGGGCTCCCCCTACTCCAGGGCGCCCCCCCACTCCCCGCCACCCTCGGGAACGTGGGCCTTCTTTATAGCTCTGGATTCTGTTTCTTTGTTTCAGCTCGTCCACGTTTACTTCCTTCCTTATAACGTAGTAAATAAGCAGCAAGAAGGGAGGTTGAGTCCGTGTCCGGGGTGCATCTTGTGTGTATGTGGGTGTGCCCACACTCGAAGGCACGCAGGGAGTGGGGCTGCGTGTGGAGGGTGAGTGTGCTGGGCGGGTCATGGGTCTGTGCATCCATCCGTGTGTGTGTCTGTGCAGCATGTGGTCATGCGTGTTCCTGGGGTTATTCCCAGCGGCCCCCCACCCCGCTCCACTCCCCAGCTCATTAAGGCTCTCCCATTATTCTGACATTTGTGCGCGTCACGTACTGGCAAGAAGTAATTTACTTAGAAGAAATTAAAAGTTCATTTTAATTGAGCGCACACTGCAGTATGCAAATGAGCACATTATGCACCCAGCGCAGACACAAAGCTATAATCAGCGCTTAACCCTGCGTGCGCCGGCCCTCTGGGCCTGCGGCGCCGTGGCTGGGGGGGGCTGCAGTGGTCTCCCTGTCTCCAAGAAGGAGGGGCAGGCCACCCTATGGCATCCCTCCCGAGCCCTCTCTGAGCTTTTTCTGGAGGTCAACAGGCACATGAGCACTGGTGCCCTGGGGAGACCCAGGCTCTGAGCCCACCTCAGGCTCCAGCCACGGCCCGGGACAGCGAGGCTCAGCCAGGGTACCAGCAGTCCCGACCAGGCCACGCACAGCAGCAGGGAATCCCCGAGGCCTGCCTCGCCCATCCTGCCCTCGGAGGGTTTGCGGGTGGTGTGTGCGCCCGCCCTGTGAGGAGGAATGGTGGCAGGCTCCCCTGGGAGCCCAGGGCTTCCCCACAGCCCCGGGCCTGGTCCCGTGAAGTGAGGGCACCGTCACAGCACACGGGCCAGGCCCAGCGTCCGGCCGTGTGGCCCTCAGCATACCTACCCACTTCTCGCCACCTGGAGTTGTGCCCCTCAAAGTGGAAGAGCAAGTGGTGTGTCTGAGCGATGGGGAGCCTCACGGAAGAGGGCTGGCCCTACCTGAGTGCCCGTGCACCCTCAAGTCTGAGGGGCAGCAGGCGGGGTCTCTCCCTTCCTCACCTGTCAGGGCCTGGCTGTGTGGGGCCTGCACCCCACTCCCACGCCCCCCCCCACCTCCTCCCTGCGCCTTGCTGTCTCTTCTCTGGTCCTGCCAGGCAGGTGGCAGGTCAGCACCTGTTTGGCTCAGCCCAGCCCACCCCAAAATGATGGGGGACAGGGTGGGCTCCCATTCCCGTCTCCCCGAAGAGCTTGGCCCCTGGGCGGGAATCTGGGCTCCTGCTGGAGCTGTGGTGGGCCCCCGGTGGTTGTTTCTACGTTGGATTTTCCCTACCTGTCAGACTTGGGATTTTTAATGACAGTGAAAATGAAGCTGGTTTGCAGATGTGAGCTGACAGCCAGCTGTGGGAGGGAGGGGGTTACCTCCAGACCCAGCCCTCGATGCCCACAAATTCAAACAAAGGAGCTGTCCTGGCTCACTCGGATGAGCAGAGACAGCGGGGGCCCGAGCAGGCTGTTCCTGCCCTCCCGGAGCACCCACCCCACCGTTGGGCAGAGCCCACTGACTGCGCTCAGTCCCTTGGGGGCCAGCCCTCCCTCCCCCAGCAACACCCCAGCCCTGCCACGGTGCAGCTCCGAGTGCATTGCTCTTCCATCTCCCAGGCTCCCTGAGGCGAGAGGTGCAGGACAGGGAGGCTCTTGGACCCTGGGTGGGGTCCTCCCTTGGGAGGACCCCAGCAATCAGGCAGTGGGACCCTGGAGGGTGGGTGTGGGTTCACGGGGCCTGGGCGGGCCCAGGAATCTGAATTCTTAGCAGGAGCCTCAGGACCACCCTGGGAAGCCCTGAGGGCTGCACAGCCGGGGTCCTTAGCCCTCGGCAGAGACAGACAGAAGAGTCGTCTACCAGCTCCACACCCGCACGGAAGGCGGCCCTTCTCTTAATACCCTGGGAGGAGGGGCGGTGGTGGGCAAGAAGGGGTGCGGCAGTGGGGCTGCTCTCCTCCCGTTGTGCTCTCGAATTCCCTGCAGTGATGTCCTCCGGGCCGGGGCCCTGCGGCGTGGGACCCTGAGAGCCGAGCCGCTCTGCACTGGCCGTTTGCCCTGTCACCGCCACGTCCTGGCAACTTGGCTGAGGGGTGTATGGGCTCTGGGGCGGCAGGGCCATCTCCCCCTCCTCCCTGCAGCAAAGGGGGCCGTGGTGAGGGGCCTGGCCACTTGTCTAGGCCCTGACTCACCCTCACTGGCTCTGGGAGTGCCTTGTCACCTGCTGTTGCGTGCTGGGCAGTCTGGGGCGGCCCCCCTTTGACAGCCCTTCTCCGCTACAGCCAAGTGGTCTGTCTGACCCTGCCACCGCCAGCCTCCTGCCTGCGGCTCTGGGCTCTGAGCCGGCCACTGGCCTGTTGGTGCCCATGGGAGCTTCTGTAGACAGGCTCCACTGCCACGTTCCCACCACCCTCCCTCCGTAGCCTCGCCACCTCCCCGTGTCCTCTGGCCTCCTGTGGCCGGGGTCACAGCCCGTGGCTCTGCAGCTCTTGTCCTCGTCGGCGTCGGTGGTTGGCGCTGACTTTATCGAGCATGTGCCGTGTGCCAGGCATGGCCCGTGACCGCACTGGGGGCATCTCCTCCAGGCCACGGCACGGTCCACAGCAGAGCTCAGGCCTTCCAGAACCCACGTGTCTGTGACCCCAAGGCCTGTGTCCTTGGTCACGGTGCGCCGCTGAGGCGGGAAAGAGGCAGCATGCTGGGCAGATCTCCATCTGGTGTGGGTGGCCAGCGTCCAGCTTGCAGCCCAGGGAGGGCACCACTCAGCAGCTGCTTCGGGCCTCGTGGCTGGGAGAAAGCCTGTGGGGAGCAAGAGGTTCCCGGGTCTGCGGCCCAGGTCTCTTCCAGGCTGGCAGCTACATGGCTGCTGGATGACCTGCCTGTGGGGTGTAGACCAGCCCTGGGAGGTGGCCTCTAGGAGCGCATCGATTCCAGGTGGCAAACAGCTGACAGACGGTGGCTCCTGGAACTCCCATGGGTCGTGGGAGAGGGCACTGTGATTGATTAGCTCAGGGTGAGGACAGGCCTCTTGTGATGCAGAGACACTGAGTCTCCAAGAGGGGGCAAGACCTGGCTTGGATTCCCCTGCAGACACCAGTGTTGGTCTATGTGATCTGCCCTCTTCCCGGGCCTCCCACGTCTTGGGACTCATGCCCACGGTTCCCGTGGGCTTTCAGTGGGGCACTGTGGGGCACCCCGTCCTGACTCCAGAGCCATGTTCTGGGCGGTGTCCGTGGATGCCTGCGTACGGCCTGTGTTCCTGGCTGCTGTTGGGCCTGACAGCGGGTGGCTCTCCTCCACCTTTGCCAGTGTGGGCCGGGTGTGGCCCAGGCGCTCTGCACACCGCCTCCTCTGGTCCTCACGGCGGGGGGACGGGGGTCTCTGCCATGCTGAACATGAGGCCTTCGGCTAGAAGTGTCCCCCGTTAGACGCGGGCTCTGGGGGAGCCAGAGCTGCCTGCTCGCTTCCATGCTCTGGACTTTTCCAAATAGCCATGCCGCTGTCCTCTGTGTGGACATCTCACCGTAGCGCATGGCAGTGTGGCCCGAGGACACAGTCTCCTGGTAGTGCTGGGCGTCCCTGGCATCTCATCTGGCCTCACAACTAGACGGAGGCTCCGAGTAACGTGCTTACGTCCAGGGCCCTGGCCTCGCTCTGCCTTCATCAGGGCTGTTCTGAGACCTCACGGGCCCCGAATCCGGCCCGAGCAAAGGACCCCCCTCTCCAAATGTCTCCAGTATGCCTCCTGCCCCTTAGGCCCTTACTGTCCCAAGCTCCATCACTTGCAGGGACATCCTCCTCTGTCTGTGAAAAGCCTTCTCCTGTGAGCCTAGGGTAAATACCACCTGCTCCAGGAAGCCTGCTTTGACCATTCCCATGGAAGCTCGTCTTCCTTCTGACACTGGAGGGCTCTCTGCACTGTCTCCTCTGCGGCCCATTTGTGATGGTGGGGGCAGCTCCGTGTACCCACCACGGCCAGCGCTCTGTTGAGACGGGGCTGTGGGGTCAATAAGGACATGGATGGAGACAAGCAGTGGCTAAAGGGCCCAGGTTTCTCCAGTTCCTGAAAACTGTAGGTGGGGGTCAGCCAAGAGGGGAGCTGGGGGTCCCTGGATTGTGGGGCCCAGCCAAGCTGGGCGTGTGTGGGGGCCGCCAGGGACCAGAGCCTTGGGGGGGCTGGCTGCACCCCACGCAGGTCCTCCCCACAAGGCTCCACACAGCAAACAGGAAAGAGTTAAGTCCTCTGCGAGAAGGAAGTGATAAACAATTTTCTCTCCCTCGGCTAAATTAATATGCAAATTCCTGCACCCCTCCACTCCCTTCCCCTGCCTCGAAATTAGCGAGGTAGAATGCTCAGGCTAATTATGCATTCAAATGAACAGGCGGCTTCTGGCGCCAAGAGGGCGCCGGAGGAAACGGACGTGTGCGTGTGCGGCCCTTCTGGTACATCTGGAGCTGCTCTCGCGTGCCCCACAGATGTGGCCCGGCAGTGACCGTGGCCACCCAGGCTCAGGAGGGGGTGCGGGGACCAGCACCCTCTGCGCCCCCTGGCAGTGGGGAGGAGGGACCCTGCACACCGCCCCTCTTCTCCACCCACCAGACCCACATCCCACCCTGCAAACAAGAGCCCCCCGGGATCCCGTGGGGCTGGTGCTCATGGCCGGGACTGCAAGCAGGGGCCTGTGGTGATGGCTGCCATCCAGCGGTCGGAGCTGCGCAGGGCCCTGCTGGGCTCGGTGTGGGACAGCGGACGAGCCTGGAGCTGCACCAAGAGGCCTCCCCGCGGGGCGGGCAGGGGAGCTTCACCTCCAGCCACCTCTCAGCAGAGCACTGCTTACAAACTGTTGTACGTTTTGTGGTTGGGAGTTAAATTTTGTCCCAGGAAGATGTTTTTCTGCCAGGTGGGAATTTGAACAACAGGAGACGAGAGGCTGCCTGAGCACCAGGGGTGAACGGTGTCTGCGGGAAGCAGATGGGCTCAGGGGGTAAAGAGGGGCCAGACCCTTGACCCCTTCTCGAAGGGCTGGTTCTTTCCCTGCCCGCGAGGCCTGACCCCTCCCTGCAGCCTCCTGCCACCACCTGTCTGCCAGTGTTGGTTTGCTCCCATGGGACCCCCAGGGCCCCATTCCTTCCCTGCGCTCCTGGGGCCGCTTCTCCTGGTGCTGCATTTATTTTTGTTGGGTGTGCGGTGTGATTGCCCAGCGCCTGAGAGTGTACCCCGGCTTGTCCAAGCCCCTGAAGGGCAGTGCCGTGTGCTGGACTGCAGCGTGTGGTCCCTGGCCCTCCACTCATCACCCTGGGTGAGGGGCTCCAGTGACTGGAGACCCTTCCCTCTCCCAGGAGGTTATAAGGACACTGAAGCAGACAGATGGGTGGTGGGTGGGTGGCCCAGCCTGACAACTTACAGGGGAGCCAGGCAGGCAGGCCGCCCCCGGGCCCTGAGCGATCCGGGGTCAGAGAGCAGGGCAGAGCCCCCCACGCTCCTCACCTGGGGGCAGATGTTTGGGCCAGGCTCTGAAGGACACAGGACTAGGCACTGCACACGGTGGGTCCCAGCCCCAGGGCTACGGCTTGGGTCACGCCACGTCCTCAGGCATTCCCTAAAGGCCCGGAAGCCCAGCATGGACCTCAGTAGAAGGCCCCCAAGAGCAGACAAATCCAGAACAACGCTGATCCCCACAGAGGAGAGGGAAGCAGGGGCTACAGAGAAGGCTGGGGGCGGGGGGTGGGGGGGATAGGACCTGGAGCCCTGAACGCCGGCGAGGGCTGGGAGGACCAGCAGGGCACAGAAGCACCCTGTCCCCTGCCACACCGGCCTTCTTTCTGCCCACCCCGGGGAACAGCCCAGATTTCCAGAGCTAGAAGGATCAAGAACGTGAGCAAGAGCGCGGGGTCCCCACCAGCCGCGACAGGGATGATGGATGACGTTAAATATTCATCGGATGCAGCCAGGTAGCCAGCGTCACCCACAAAGATGTGTGTGATCACAGCTTCCTGCAGCCCCTAAGGCAGGCACTCGTCAGCCGGATGGACGGGGGCTGCGGAGGAAGACGAATCGCCTGGGAGAAGCCGTGCATTTCAGGGCCGCCAACACCACTACAATCAATAGGGGCCTGAGCTCTGAGCAGCCGATAGCAAGTAATAAATAGGAGCGAAAAGACAGGAGGATTAATGAGGCCCAGTGCAGGGAGGGTCTAGAAGAGGGGCCGGGAGCACAAGCCTGGGGTGGGAAGGAACGGGGAGGTGGGGTGTCCTTCGAGGCCTCTAGGGAGAGGGGGTGGAGAGCGCAAGGTCCAAGGCAGAACTGGCCCCCAGGGCATTTTGGGGCCCAGTGGGGGAGGCATTGTCTGAAACAGGACGAAGCCACCACCACCCCCAGGTGTGACCTGGTCCTGGGGAGGGGCCGGGCCCAGTAATGGGCAGGGGTCTCCAGGAGGGGAGAGGGGCCAGAAAGCTGTTGCTCTGGCGTTCCTGGAAACCGCCTCCTCCCAGCAGATGCAGGGCCGCCCGTAGTCGGGGTTTGGGGTACTTTGTCCGTCTGACGGTGATGCATGGCCCCACTCGTTCTCCGCACACGGCTGTCAATTCTGGTGCAGCTGCTGCCCCCGCCCTCCAGGCGCTGCGTAACGCCAGGCTGCGGAGCGCACTGCAAATTAACACCATTTGTTCTGCCGAATGTGGTTTATTTCTGCACTACTCGCATAGCTTATTACCTCGCCGGCAGTGTGGGGAGAGAGGCCGCCAGGCTGGGAGCGGAGGGGAATGTGTCCCCTCTGGCTACTCTGACCCCCCAGGCCCACCGCCTGCAGCAGGGAGAGCCCTGGACCTGTGGACCCATGGACCGTGACCTTGAAGGGCCGGCGTCATTCCTGGGGGAGGGTCCGGCTTCCTGTCTGCCCATCCTGGTGACAGTGCCCAGGGCTCCAGGCTTGGCATCCCTGGGTGTCTTGTTCCTGCGCCGGGAGGTGATCTGCCCTCTCTCTGAGTGCCCGTGTCTGCCTCCCCAACAGTTAGACCACCCCTCTCGGGCAGAGCTCGGGCATGGCTCAGTTAGTGGCCCTGTTACCAGGTTTTTACCCGGTCACTGCACATGATTGTTCTCGACGTCTGAGCGGGCGGCTAGCCACAAAGATTCGATCCAGAGGTGAGGGCAGCTGGGTAAGGCCCTGATGGAGAGTCGGGGAAGGCAAAGCAGCCCTGGGCCTGCTGGGGACCCCTTCCCAGGCCAGGACCCTCCCCTGCAGGTGGGCAGAGTGGAGCCTGGCTGGGGTGGCCGGCAGGCCCAGAGTCTCCAGGTCGGGACCCTGAGAGCATGAGAGACACATGTTGCCCAGGGAAGCCCGTGGGGGCACCTGTAGGATGGTGCTTCCCTGCACCCTGTGGGGGTCTCAGGAGCGGCCATTTGTCCCCACCAGCCCTCCCCTGGGACAGGGAGGCCCTGGCTGAGCAGAGGCACCAAATGCAGGAAGGCAGAGGACTTTTCTTCTTAGACCAGGGACACAAGGACCCTGTCAGGCAGGACCCACCCGCTGCCCTGTCCCCTCGTCCCTGAGCCTCCTGTGTTTAGGGGTGTGCTCTGCACCTCCAGGGGTGCGGTGTGGAGTGAGGCAGTGCTTGGGGGGCTCGCGCAGGCTGGGCAAGCTGCTGCTCTCACAGCACCTCCTCCCCCAAGCGGGGGCCGCTGAGGCTCCCGAGCCCCTCTCCCTGCCAACAGCAGGAACAGGCCTTGGGCCTGGGGCTCCCCCAGTTCTCCACGAGGGAGGCCCCTGGGGAAGAGGTGGAGGGGGTTGCTCGACCCTGGGTGGCCGTGGCTGAATGGAGCCTGGTCACCACCAGTGGGCATTCCCAGGGATGATTTGGGCCGGGCTCCGCAGCAAGCACCATGCTTCTGTGAACTTGAGCGTGGCTGGAAGCATCATCCCCTTTTACAGAGGGGAAGGCGAAGATGGGAGAGCTCGCACAGCAGACAGGCACTCCCTCCGCACCCCCTCTGCCCCCGCCCCGACTGAGTGGAGCTGGTCTGGGCGCCTCCAGCCCCCCGAGTCCAAACACCGCAGCCATGCGGCCCCGCCCCCAACATCGCAGCCGTGTGGACCCTGCCGCGGGTCTGTGAAGCACACTGTGGTGCCTGGAGACTGAGTCAGATTTGGGGAGAGGAGGGTGGGGCTCCCCAAGTGTGGACACTGCCTGAGCAGAGATACTGAGGGGCCAGGCCAGACAGGAGGGAGCAGGCAGCCGGCCTCGGGACCGTCAGGGAGCATCTGTCTGTCTGGGGCTCAGCAGGGAGGCGGTTCCGGGCAGCCACCCACAGGCACCCCAAGGGGCTTGGGCCTTGAACCCAGCCTTCGGGCAGCTGTCCCGTCTCATGGAACGCTGCGGCGGGGGCTAGGGGTCGGGCGGCTGGTGCAGCAGCCCGCCTCACTCCAGGCCAAGACGCATGCCCGTGGGGCACCTGCCCCACCTGTCTGAGCAGTTTGCGGGGGCTGGGGGGCTGGGGGACTGGGGAAGTGACCCCTGCTGAGGCCACTCAGCCAGCAGGCCCCTGTGCCGGGTGCATCCGGGCTCCGCCTTCCTGTCCCCGCTACCCACCCCCCCAGGCTGGGAGGGAGCAGTGACTGGCCCTGTCCATTGCGTTTCAGGGACCTGGTGGGGAGACAGGTGGGGGCACAAGGCTGGCCCCTCGGAGGCTGCAGACAGCAGTCGTGGTTCTCCATGGACCCTGCAAGGGCCTGGGGGCCACCTCACATGACCAGCATGTGGGGGACGTCACGTGCGTCTGGCCCAGAGCACGGAGTTGAGTCTGTTTGGCTAGACGTTATGAACCTCGATCTCCACGCGTAGAGCCCCACAAAGCGTGGGTTTTCAGTTGATGATGACGGACAGACAGACGGTGGGCAGATGGACAGCAGGTGACTGAAGTGCCAGGAAAAGCTTCTGACTGGTGGCCAGCACACAGCGGCAGGGACTTCGGTGGGCTCTGGGTCAGGTCTCGTTGCCGTGGGGTAGGGGGCCATGGGACACCAGAGCAAATGATGGAAGGGAGCCGCCAAGCAGAACGGCTGGTCCCATGAGGGGCAGACAGTGCCCCCGGGAGGTGGCCAGGGCTTGGGGCGGGGGGGGGGGCGTGCTTGCAGGCGCCTGCTCATTCTGGGACCCTGCTGCGAGGCTGGGTGCCTGGGCGCACTGTCAAGAGGCGGAAAGGCTCCATGAGTATTTCATTACGGATGCAATGTGGTGTCCGAGAGGAACATCTGGCGGGAGTCTCCAGGGAGCTGGGAGCCCACGCGGGAAGCAGGACTGTGCAATTTGGAAGCGGGGGGGCCAGGAGCAGTGAGCGGGGGGCACTGGCTCTGCTGCTGAGGGCGGCTCGACTCCGGCCACCCTGTGGTCCCTCTGGCTCTCCCTGCCACCCACCCTGTTTCCGGGGACCTGCCTGTGTAAGGACAGACGTCCTGGCTCGCTTCCCCTGAGCCTCCACAGCGCGGCTCCCACCACCCGCCCTACCCGGCCCAGGCCCGTGGCCGCTGGAACAAGCTGTGGTTGGCGGGGGGTCCCTGCACCTCATTGCCGGGGGCGGAGGGGCGGTCACGGCAGCCCACAGCTCCTTGGTTTCTGGTATTCCCTGCTCAGTGCTCAGGCCAGGGGCGACCTGGGCCAGGCCAGTGCCCACCCTGCTGGAGGGGTTCGAGTCCTGAGGGCTGGGGACAGAATGACCCCCCCACACCCAGCCTCCAAAGTCCTATGCTAGCGCCAGGGCGTGGTCCCAGAACACCTGGGGAGGCTCTCTCCACAGCGTCCGTCTGGTCCATACCTGCCCGCCCACCTCATAGCCACCCACACTGAGGCCTGGAGACCGTGGACCACCCCCGCCAAGTGGCACACCCCAGACATGATGCCAGCCGGCACCCAAAGCCATTGAGCTTGCCTCTGGGAGCCCCAGAGCAGCTGCCCACCCAGAGCTCTGAAAGGCGGGTTGCACTGCCAGCCCTCGTTCTGGGAGCCCCCTCACCCCCGCTGCCCGTCCAGCCAGGCGGATAGTCGTGCATTGGAGCCCCTCCCCTCTGCGTGAGCGTCTTCGTGGCTGGGCCTCTCCTGAGCCCTGCCTGAGCGTTCCACATCCACCAGCCTGACGCCAGATCCCGTGTCCCCTGGGCTCCTGCACCTGTGTGTCCCCCCACCCCCGTGATGTCCCTGCATCTCAGCCCAGACCCCTTGCTGCCCTCCCAGGGTGAGGCTGCTCTGGCTCCTGCCAGGCTCCTCACTCGGCTTTTCACGCTCCTGCAGCCCAAGCTCCGGAGTTGGCCGAGCCCTGTCCCACCCCTGACCAGAGCACAGGGACTGCCCTCCACCCGCACCTGCTCGGCCACGTGCCCCAGGCCTCCCTGTGTGGCCCCTTCTTTCTGGGTCCACACTGGCAGCTCAGAGCATCCGGTCCAGAGCCCCTGGAGCAGCAGTGGTGTCCCCTGCTCCTGTGCCCGGCCTGACGCGTGCCTCCCTTCGGCAGATATGCTTGGCGGCAGGGGAAGGGGAAGGCGCGCTGGCTCCCTCCCACCGAGGGGTGGCCTGGCACCGGCCCACCGCACATGCGCCCTCCTCCACCTCCCACTGCCCTGGCCCTTTCTGCTCAGCAAGCACGGCTGCTCCCCAGCGGGCAGCTTGCCCCCCATGCCCTTGGCAGCTGGGCTCCTTGGCACCACCGCCCAAGCTCCCGCTGATTGGGCACGTTTGGCTGCGGTCCCACCTCCTGCACACACACACCGTGGTGCCAAGCCAGTCTGTGGGGCTCCGGGCAGCCAAGGGGGAGGGAAGCAGAGACGCTTCCCCTGGGGCCTCCTAGCTACTCCAGCCGTGTCCGTCCTCCCCATCCTCCCAGCGCCGGGCCCCGGCTTGGCCTTCGAGAAGGAACAGCAGACACTCAAGGATGTCTGGGGACACCTTCTGAAACATGAGGCAGGGTGGCCAGGCCCCAGAGGGAGGGGCCCGAGCGCCAGAGCCAGAAGTCCTGCTGTGTGGGGGGCCCGGGGCTGTCCCCTCAAACCCTCACGCCGCGCAGCCCGGCCTGCCCGGCCTGCCCGGCCTCGGTGCCACCCGGACGACTCCCCGCCACCGCACTGAACCAACAGGCCCCGGGGGGCAGACTGTCTCCTGTGCCTGGGACGGTGCTCGGGGAGGCTGACGGGGTCCCCTGCGCTGGCCGGACTCAGGAGGGCCCAGACCCCCATGGGGCGCAGCCGTTGCTACTGGCCACCCCGCCGCGCAGCCCGCGCCCGGGCCGAGAGCCGCACGCGCCTGTTACCTGTCCTGCCGCCCGCGTCCGCCTGCGCCCAGCCGAGTCCTCCACCGCTGCTTTGCCAAGCGGCTGCCGCCTTCCCGGGACGGGCTGCCAGCGACTGGCGGCGGGTTTTGTTTGCGAGCCTGGCCCCGCGCGCCCCGCCCTGCCGCCCGCGTGGCAAGCGTCCATCTCCCCCTCCGCAGCCGGCCCCACACCTCGCCCCCTTCCCGGCCCCCGTGGTGCGGCGCGGAGGGAACTGGCACGGACGGAGCTCGGCCAGCCTCCCACAGCTGAGCGTAGCCACGCTGCCGCTGCTGCTTTTTTTGTATTTGGAACACACACGCACTCCCTCGCACACGCACACACGCCGAGCCCCCGCCCCGGCAACACGCATCCCTCCTGTCAGGAGCGGCCCCAGCCAAGGAAGCCCGGGAGCGGGCGGGCGGCAGCGAGCCGGGCGGCGCCAGCCTGGAAGCCCAGCCTGGCGCGTGCCTTCCTCCGCCCGCCGCCTCCCTCCCACGCAGCCACCGGGAAGGGAAGCAGGAACTCCAGTCCGTGTCGCCCCGGGGAGCCTCCTGCCGGGTGCCCCTTGTCCCCCGTCGGCTGCTGCGGTGGCCACGCCTGGCACCAGCCCTTCCCGAAGGGGCGCGTCTGGCGGAGCGCCCAGCGCCCGCGAGGGGGCCGGGGCCTGGCCGCCTGCAGCCGGTGTGGGGGGCCACGGGGGAGGGCGCCTGGTGGGCATGAGTGGCTGTGGCGGACCTCCAGCAGAGAGGGGCCCGTGGATGTCGCCCAGGGGCCGCCCCATCCTCTCCCCGCTCACGGGCCCGGGGTTAGCGGCCAGCATGGGGCCCGCCAGAGCCCGCAGGGAGGGGGAGCCCCTGGCTGGCTCTGGGTCAAAGTCAACGACCTCACCTGGGCCCCCTCCCCCACACCCGCAGCCGACGGCCGCCTGTCCTGTGGGGACGCCTCTTGGTGGCCTTGTGTGTCCTTGGGCATCGCTTTGCTTCTCGGCGTGTCTTTTCTTATTGATTACTGAAGGACTTGACAACCTTAATTCGCTTCACGCTCCGCATGGACAAGAAGGAGGGGCCGCCGCAGCCCATGCTCCCGCCAGGCCCAGGCCCAGCCACTGCCGGAGAGCTCCGAACCGAGGGGACGCCGGGGTCCAAGCCCACCCAGGCTCCACTGCCCAGAAGCCTTCTCTCCCAAGGAGAAGCCTCTCTCCTTCCGGAACCTCCCTGCCTGGGCTCTGAAGCTTTAGGCAGAGAGGGACATGGCACCTGCCTGAGATTTCTGCTCCGGTGGCTGTCACCAGCCCTCTCCTCACAAACCCATCAAGGCCCATTGTGATGAGATCGCCTCCCTCAGGCCATCACCCCCCTCAGATGTCACCTCCTTCAGATGTCACCTCCCTCAGGTCGTCACCTCCCTCAGG